GGAAGTGTCTTTGTTGCTCGGCCTGTGTTTCTTTCAACCAACTGGCGCGTCGCAACTGCCTGTACCCCAAATATGAAATTGACAGTCAAAGGCCTCTTGTGAAATATCAGGCCCGCCTTCACTTAGGGCGGGCACAACTGTAACCGGGGCCCTTCAGGCCTGCCGATGACCCTGAGCCTCACATTCCCTCCTCCTTTACTTCGTTAGGCCTTTGAGAAGTCACTTATTCTGCAGGCATCTTCCCTTTTCGTTCTCTTTCATAGCCTGCAATCACTTGAGGTGTTGTTCTCATGAGTTCTTCTCATGTGAACCAGCGATCTTCCTTGGGATCGAGGAAGCTCACACGATACTGCGTTCTCGGCTTAGGAGGACGCCCTCTGCCTGATGGTCGAGGAACAGGCATCATTCGATGCTCCATGATCTGGTCGATGTCCACCTCGCCGTCCATGGTTGGGGGCAGCATTGATCTTCTTGAAGGAAACTGCTCTGTAGCAGCGAAAGGTGCCAACTTGGAAGCATGGAAAACAGGGTATGTGCATAAGTGAGGTTGGATGCGAATCACGTATGAAGGCCCATCCTGTTGATCTCCTACAATATCTAGGATCTCCCAGGGCCCAAAGTACTGTGGCATTAGTTTACGGGATATGCCTAACTCCTGACCTAGCTCAGCAGACTTAAATAGACTCTTGTCTCCTACCTGAAAGTTAGAGGGCCGTCTATGCTTATTCTCAGATGCAATCATTGCTTCCTGAGATTTTCTAATATGTTCAACGGCCTGTTGCAGCATCTGATCATAGTTTACAGCAAACTCTATGCTGCCGGGTGCTGCAGTAGGTTCTCTTTCTGGCAGCAGAAAGTCAAGGGCAGTCTGGGGCTTCCAACCAAGATGCAGTTGGTTGGGAGACATACCTGTAGTACTATGCACCGCATTATTGTACAGGCTGGCGACGAGTGGTAATTTCTTGTCCGAGTCGTCCTGATTTGGCTTGATATAATGCCTGAGCAGGTGCTGTACTACTCGGTTCATTTGTTCTGCCTGGCCATTCGACTCAGGGTGATTCCCTGACGTCATTTGGAGCTTTGTCCTTATTTGTTCAGCAGTCGATTGCCACAGTTCGCTTATCTCACATCTCTGTCACTAACTATAGATGTAGGTAGACCGAAATCTCTTACCCAGTTGTCCATGAAGAGTTTGATGACGTAGTCAGTTTTAGCAGTTTCAGGCATAGTGATCAGTCTTGCATACTTAGAAAAGCGATCCTCTATAACAAAGATGTCTCTTTCCAGACCTGCTGGTCACAAGGGTATCCATGAAATCCATAGACACACTCTGACCTGGTCCTTCAGGAATCGGCAAGGGCTTGATCAACCCAAGTGGTGCCTGAGTCCTTGGTTTGTCCCTTTGGCAAACCTGGCAGGTTTCAGCATAGCGTTTTGCATCTAACATCATAGAGGGCCACCGGAATCTCTGTACTAAGTTCGCTGATGTCTTCTTGTATCCAAAATGACCAGTTGCATCATGGAGTTCTCCAAAAAATAAACTACGCAAAGACTCACTATTGGGAACACACAGTCTTTTATTCCCTGCCTTTTCAAGAAACAGCAAGCCGTCTACCATCGTAAATTCGTCCAAAGTCTTTTTGTCCTTTGCTTGGAATCTATGGATGATCTCAGACATAACTGGATCTTGCTGATAGGCATCCGCCAATGATCGAGTCAAATCGCTATATATGCCAAATTCAGTCACTAGTGCGCCCAGATAATCCTCCCGACGAGATAACGCATCAGCCACTTTGTTGTACTCTCCCTTGATTGGATCAAGTTGATAGTCATACATGCCTATCACTTGAATCCATCGCTTCAGTGCGTCAGAGAGGACTGGCTATGTCTTAATCCAGCGCAAGGTCTCATGGTCAGATCTCA